CAACAATCCTGTGAAGAAGGTAGGACAGGTATTATTATCTTCATCTGACAAATAAGCTACTTATTATTTGGCTTCTGAAGAGATTCTAAACTCTAATTAACATTTCACAACATTAATTAGTGTTCAGAGAGGTATCAATCGGTGCTTCCACTTTACAACGTGATTTAGAAACTCGGGGGGAAAAGTGGACTGTCCCCATCGGAAAAATCTGCAGAAATACAGCAATTTGCCTAACCAATGACCCCTCCCCCCCCAGGTACTTCCTAATTAGCTATAAGAGAGCAGTCATAATCAATTATGATGCTCGTTTCCATAGTGTAGTGGTTATCACGTTCGCCTCACAATTATGATGCTCATTCTCATCACATAAAAAAAAATGACACAGGGCCCTAGCTGGCTTGGCTCAGTGGATAGAGCATAGGCCTGCTGACTGGAAGGTCCTGGCTTTGATTCCAGTCAAGAGCACGTGCCCGGGATGCGGGCTCGATCACCGGAACGGGGCGTGCAGGAGGCGGCTGATCAATGGTTCTCTATCATCATTGATGTTTCTATCTCTCTCCCTCTCTCTTCCTCTCTGAAATCAATAAAAATGTATTTTTTTTTAAATGACTTTAGGGTACTCTTAGTGACACCATAATAAAATGTTTTAAATTAATAAAAACAGAACTGCGTCAGTCATCAGAAGTCCGATGAAGGATCCGGTGAAGAGGAGGTAACACCGACAAACGATGGACAGTGACGGGGTGGGCAGGAAGAAAAAAGATGCAGCAGGTCAGGTTGCCAGGCTTAGCAAATAAGCAGAGGACACGCAGTTCAATGTGAATTTCAGGTAAACAAAATGCTTTTACAGACTCTGCCTGGAGAAACCTTACCTTCCTCTCGAAGATAAAATTCTCCAGGGCAGGGATTTCTGCCTGTTCATTGTCCATTGCTGTGTCCCCAGGGCACAGGACAGCACCTGGCACGTGGTAGGTGCTGAGTGATATCACCCACATTTATCGAGCGAGGTGGTATGGGCATGGGTGCTTGCTACGTAACCACTCCCCCATTTTGTGTGTCTGAAATGGATCCTAATACATTTTTGCAAATTACAGTATCAACTAACTGCTCTTACTTTCACATCCGCACCTTTTATCCCATCTCACAGAAGGACGCTCTGGGGAAGTCAGAGCATAAAAGGACTGGTGACTAGTCCCTCACCCAACGGCAGCTCTGAGCAGGGACCTGAACGTGGGCTGATCAGTCGTCAGACAGCTTGGCAGCCCAGGGCACGGGTTGGCCAGGTGGTGTTTTTTTCAGCTGCTCTACTTCTCTGTTTTATTCTGAAAACCATGAACAATGTTTCCTTTGCCAGTGCCCTGACTCCAGTTTCTCATGGGATTTCTTCTCAAGTTCTATGGAGCCCACAGAAGTGATTTTTCAAGGGGATGGGTGGGAGGACCCTTTTTGGGCATAGCACAGCTAGGGGAAGTATAATTTTAAAAGTGCATATTTGATATTATATGATATCTTTGGAAAATAAAAGTAAAAATCAATAACTTCACATTTAAAACTCGTACTAAACTACCCAAATGATTTATCTTTTTCTCAGGGGAAAGATTAGTAACCAGCCTTCATTAAGCTGCCATAAAGCCCTCTTCATCCCATCTTAAGCTGAGGCCTGTAAATTTCATGTTAATTTCATTTCAAAAATTGTTTGAATTTGCCTAGGAAAAAAAAACCAACAGTGGGTATTTAATACAAAAATGGGAAAAGAAAATGTAAAATTATTTTTATGAGCACCATCTTAGCTATGTCAAATACAGGGTGTTCCCAAAAAATGTATACACAAACAGAGTAATTATAAAGGCAGTGTTTATTAAACTATATTTCATTTTCAAAACAGAGCTGTTAAAGTGTATATACATTTTTGGGGGATACCCTGTATATAAAATATAAAGGCTATATGAAAATTGAACAGAACATTCATTTCTGGGTGGTGGTATTACTAGTAATTCCTGCTTTATTTTTTTAGACAATGCTACAGATCTATATTTTAAAATGTTCTACACTGAGCATCATATATATGTACGCGTGCTGCCATGCAGATACAATGTAAATATATTTAGATAGCTGTATGTGGGATTAAAGTAATTGTGTATGACTGAGCCTCTAATCAGATTTACTCTTCAGGCTTGCTAAGGTCATGGTGATGAGGATAAACAAAAACCTTCCCTCGCCTGGTCCAGACACCTGTGTTCGTGAACAATCCATACCGAGACTCAGAAGCCACAACTAGAGAGCTTTCCTTTGCATTCACACTCACTGCCCGGGCCCGTGAGGCAGGGCACAGGGGAAGAGGAAAGGTGATAGCTGGATCATCAGATTTCGGGAACAAGAGAAAAGAGAAACTTTAGGACAAGTCAAGTTGGACAAGGAATTGGGGACAAATGGAGTAGATGTCTAAACCCTTGAAGACAGATATTGCCAAAGACTCCACAGGGTGGAGTTTGGAGCCCCTCCCCGCCACCCAACAGCTCCAATTCCCACCGTCCTCTGGGCGTGGGAATGGAAGGGAGGGCAGGGAAGGGAAGGAAGGAAGATAACAGCATTGCCAGATTGAAACCTGCCCACAAGAGAAATTTCACAATGCTTCTCCCTCCTTATCAACTATTTCACTGGAGAAACCAGTAATAATCCTGACTTTTTTCACTTCACTTAGGTAGCTCACTGAGCTTCATTGTGCTACCACGTAGGGGTGACAGTGCTGGCGATGAGGAGAACAGCGACCCTGCGAGGATTAAGTATGATGATGACGCAGGCAGAGCATCTTGGTCACTGTAGTGTCTATTACATGTTAGATATTGTCAGTAACATTTTATTGTTGACAGCAGTCCTGAGCAAAATTTAGAGAAGTCCCAACACGTTGGGTAGTAGAAAGGACAAGCAAAAGAATGGGCAAAAGAAACAACCGAGTTTTATTTGGGTTTGTTTTTTGGCAAACGACATCATCCTTGCCAGAGCGGATACTTCCTGCTGGGATTGCTGGACTAAAAAGTCACATATGCGTACCTCATACAAAAATAAAACTCAAAATGGACTAAGGACTTAATTGTAAGACCTAAAACTACAAAACTCCCAGAAGAAGACATGGGCGGTAAACTATTTGATATCAGTCTTAGTAACATATTTTTGGGTGTGTCTCCACGAGCAAGGTAAACAAAAGCAGAAGTAAACAAATGGGACTTCACCTAACTGAGAAGCTTCTATACAGCAAAGGAAATCAAGACAAAAAGGCAACCTACCGAATGGGAGGATATATTCGCAGATGATACACTAGATAAGAGGTGGATATCCAAAACATGCAAGGAACTCACACAACTCAATAATGAAAAAATAAGCAATCCTATAAAAAAAAAAAAAAAAAAAGTGGGTCGAGAATCTGAAGAGACATTTCTCCAAAGAGGATGTACAGATGGCCAACAGATGCATGAAAGATGCCCAATATCACTCATCGTCAGGGAAATGAAAATGACCATGAGATTCCACCTCATAAGAAAAAGTCAATAACAAGTGCTGGCGAGAGGTGCACTGTTGGAAGGACCAGAAATTGGAGCAGCCACTGTGGAAAACATTATGGAGATTCTCAAAAACTAAAATAGAACTAAACATAGGACCCAGCAGTTCCACTTTTGGGTATTTACCAAAAAAAAGGAAAACACTAATTTGAAAAGATATATGTTCCCCTATGTTCACTGCGACATTACTCACAATAGCCAAGATATGAAGCAATGGAGGTGTCTGTCAACAGAGAAATGGGTAGTGAAGATATGGTACACATATACAATGAAATGTTATGCATCCATAAAAAGGAATGACACCCCCCACCCCCACCCCCGCTACTTGCAACCACATAGATGGACCTAGAAGGTATTATGCTAAGTGACAGAAGTCAGGCAAAGAAAGAAAAAAGTACAGCATGATTTCAGTTATATGTGGAATTAAAAAATAAATCAAGATAAGAAACAGACTTATACAAACAAGGAACAAACGGATGGCTGTCTGAGGGGTGGGAGCAGTGTGGGGTGGAGAGGTGGGTGAAAAGGGTGAAGGGGAAATAGCCAATAACACGGTGATAAATTTGCACAGTGACAGATGGTTACTACTGGACCATGTGGTGAGCACATCGTAAGATGTATAAATGTTGAATCACTAAGTTGACACCTGAAACTAATATAATATTGTCTGCCAACTGTAATAAAATAATTATTGCTTGGCAGGGGGAGGGGGGAGTCACATACATGGGCTGGATGTGCCCACTTCGGGTCTCTCCTTTCTGCTGTTAACCTTTAAAAGGACCCCTCTCTGTTTTACAGTTTACACACTGCATTTTGCTCTATAAACTTATCCCAAATTTTAGATAAGCAATGTTGGAGTCGATGTGCAAACTATATAGGCCTCCACTGTAACCACGGTGAGAAGTAGTCTCGAGTCCTTTATGATTCAGAGCATGGCTGACTGCACAGTCCCCTGGGAAAATCACGTTAGAGAACATACCCTTCTCTTGCCCCCTCTCCCTTTCCCTCTGGGCAGCACCGTCAAACACACTGCTCGGGAGTAGACACCAGGGATTGGTTTTAAGCATCCAAACTCATTTCCTCTCCCGTCCTTCAGTCCCTCATAAAGAAGCACCAGGGGAGTACACATTACACTGGCATCAGCATTCAGGCTTTTACATTTATCCTTCAACACGTCAATAGAATTGACTGAGGTAATAATTCACCTCACTGATTTCTGTACATAGACTCTAAAGATAAAAAGCAAATTCTTTAAGAGATTAAAAATCAAAACAACCCCTCCCCCCCTTGCAATTTTAATGGATGGAAAATCGCTTTGAAATTCTAGTTATCTGGGCAACTTGCTGTTATCTATCCATTTAGTGAAAGAGAAATTAGGAATTGGTTTGAGCATAGACACACACACACACACACACACACACACACACTCCAGAGCACAGTTACCTGAGGCACAGCCATTAACCTTTGTGATGTGAGCCATGCTGGCTTGAATCCAAGGACCGATCTAGAAAGGAGTGAGGAGTCATGCAAATTTATGCATCAAGTTCCCAAACGCATTCAACCTGAAACAATAAAGAGAGGCCCATCAGAATGGATCATTTAAAAGTATGCAAAACTCTAAATCTTAAGGCTTCTGTTTACAGGGATGACTGTTAGTGGAGAAAGCAAATCTGAAAGGGGGCAGAGAGCCGGTGGCTCAGGGGGGTGGCCGGCCTGGACCCGCCATTCGATAGTGAGGGAGTAGTAACACGCTGACAGGTGCCCTGGTGGACAGGCTCTGAAAGCAGGTCTCCCGTTAATACTCTGATGGGAAACAAAGCTGGTTATCCAGGGTCTTCAAATACAAATGACCACCTAATGTGTATCCTTCTGTAGCACTTCACAAACTTGGCTTTTAAGCTTATCCTCCTTTCGAAATGTTGGATCCGTAGTTTCATTTACTCAAGTTCAACTTGAAAGCAGTCGTTATATCGCATGGTCACATTTTTTTTTTTTTTAAAGATGAACTTCATGGCAATTTTTTGAGATATCTGGAGTCTTTTAACTAAACATAGATGTAATTTAGTTAACCCGCCCCTGTTAAAAAAAAAAAACAAACTTCAATATTTCCTATTGTCCTGTTGGATAAATTTCAAATGGCAGTTTTTTTGTTTTTTTTTTCCAAATGGCAGTTTTGAAATATTAGGGTTCGTGTTGAGCAACATACTGGTATTTATTTTACATTGATTTTCTATTAAAAGTTAACTGAGATTACTGTAACATTACTTGTGTTACAATCATAGAATTTAGAACAAATGGGGAAAAAGGGGGAGGACTAGAAAAAGAATAGAAGAAAACATTACTCCAACCTTTGCAAAGCAAACCATGGTACAGACAGAAGTAGTCCATTGTTCTGACTCTAGGCCCATGAAATCAGAAGAAATTGAGCTTAACAAATTCCAAGCTCAGAACTGAAGTGTCAATTTAAAAATCTACCATATGACTCCCAACAATAGAATGTTAAAACAACAACATATCCATATATATATACTGGAATCCTAATACAGCCGTTGAAATAATTTACAAGTTTTTAAAAAATATATATTTTATTGATTTTTTACAGAGAGGAAGGGAGAGAGATAGAGAGCTAGAAACATCGATGAGAGAGAAACATCAACTAGCTGCCTCTTGCACACCCCCTACTGGGGATGTGCCCGCAACCAATGTACATGCCCTTGACTGGAATCGAACCCAGGACCTTTCAGTCCGCAGACCGACGCTCTACCACTGAGCCAAACCTGTTTCAGCAATTTACAAGTTTTTCATAATGCCAAAAAACACTCAAAGGACATTGATTTTTAAAACTATCCTATCACAAACATAAGTTAATTAAAAACATGTACCAGTAGAGTATATATACATTTAGACATTTATTTAAAACAATTAGAAGTAAATACACCAAAACGTTCATTGCCCCAGGATGCTGTGCAATGACAATTTTAGCTCCTTTACTACTTTTGTAATAATAATTATTAAAAAGAAGCATTAGATACTTTCCTGTCAACTTTGTTTTTATTTGCTTTAAAAATGCTATGCAAAAAGCCGCTATCAGATCCCAGTCATGGAGGTTCTAAGAGGTCAGAAATGTAAGTAAGTAAAAAGGAAGGAAGAGGAAATGGCTGGTCACTTAGCTTGTGAAATCCCCCTCATTGTTTGATGGATCTGTACAGTTCAGAGCTCACTACTGTGCAAGTGACTCAGTGGAAGTGCTAATGAATGGCTGCTGCTGACAGGAGTGGCCCCTGCGCGGCTTTTCCAGCCACAATGACTGCTGCTCAGCTCAGGCAAAGACCCAAAGCTGGGCCTTCCTCCGGAGGCTCCACGTCCCCTCACCCCCTCACCGGCTCCTGGCAGCACACTAGGAGGGGAGGACAGGGGACATGCAATCTCTCTGACTGTGTGGCAATCACCCGACATTCTGCTGGAGAGGGGCACTGGGTCAGGTCCCGGGCATTGAATGCAGAGAGCAATAACCTCTATGCACAAGCAGAGCCAGCTGAACCAAAGAAGGCTTTAGGGGTAGAGTGAGCATCATCTTTTAAAAAATATATATATATTTTATTGATTTTCCACAAAGAGGAAGGGAGAGGGAGAGAGAGCTAGAAACGTCGATGAGAGAGAAACATCGACCAGCTGCCTCCTGCACACCCCCTACGGGGATGTGACCGCAGCCAATGTATCAATACATGCCCTTGACCGGAATCGAACCTGGGACCTTTCAGTCTGCAGACCGATGCTCTATCCACTGAGCCAAACCGGTTTCGGCAAGCATCATCTTTAAGAACAGGAAAAATTGACAAATGTACCTTTGTTAAAAAAAAAAAAATTATATATATATTAAAGAAAGAACAGACACAAATGAGGACTAGGCAGACTGAAGGAAGGGGAGTGGGGAGATGAGGGGGCCGAGAAAAGAAACCCAGCTTCTGGAATTATCCAACGAATTATACTTTTAAAAGCCAACAACAAAGACCCAAGTGAGATCCCTCCTTCTGAGCCTGGTGTGCTTGCACTCTTGCTTCATGGTGGCTTGTCAATACCACCATTTACACTCTCAAGGGCAAGCAGAAGGCAAGAAGGAACAAGCTGCATGGGCTATGGGCGCATGAAGTACGTGTCCAGGTATGTGGATGGAGATGTGCCCAGGATCCTCCTCATCAGCCTTCACACACTGTGGTCCAAGGTTCACTCCTGTGGTTGGAAGAAGATCTTTATCTCGGATTCAAATGGGTCCCCCCCCCCCCCTAACTGAACAATAAAGTAAAAATGAGGGGGAGCTTAGAATTAGGAACTACAAGCCCATCTGTGGTAAAATAACAAGGCATGCCTGTCGCTGGGCGTGGATCCTGGCAGTGTTTGTGCAAAAACAAGTTTTACATTGTGTATCGACTTTCCCCGGGTACTGCTCACGCCTCACATTGCTCATGCCTGACAGGTGGCCTCAAACTGGGAGGACTCCGTCTTCTTAACGACATGCAGATTCGTAGGTCGGGGTATTGGATGAGCCAGACAAGGTTTGGCCAGGATCCATTCTCTGTTACGGATCAATACACTGCTTCTTTTCTCTCTCAGAGAAGCTTCAAACCAGTAAATCTTAAGTGGTACAATGGTGGCTTAGTTCTGCTTACTAAGGAAAGAGCACTTCTTTGAAAGGACTTAGGAAAACACATCAATAGAGAGAGTGAAGCATTTGTCTTCTCTACTTATTTCCAGAGACTGATCTGCACTGAAGAACATGTGAGTAGCTCCCCAAGTACAGTGCAGGGAATAATGCAGAGATTATACGAATTAACCCCTAAATACTTTCCATTAGCTTAATGCAATAAATATAAAAATCAGCTCAAAGAAAGAAAAAAAATCAGCTCCCTAGGTCTTTTCTAAGAACACATCAATAAAAACAAATAGATGAAACTGAGGCCTGCTATGTACTCTAGGCTAGCACTGCCAACCAACCAAATGCCACGTTTCGGTTAGAACCACGATAATGACGACGGTGACACCGAATCCACTGGTGACGACAGCCACTGTATACTGCGCTCTTGCTGCTATTGGTTTTTGGAATCGAAAACATAATCCATGTTAAGGCGCGCCATTACGTAAGGCAAAAATAGTTATTGGTGATTAAATGGTGACAAAATGCTTTTTAAAAAATTACATTAATTGTAAGACGCATCCTCATTTCAGAAGTGTTACCATGTGAAACTTGTGCATCTGAGAATTGGCGAAATTATGTTACACTCAAGGCACTTTTTAAGGCACTGATTTAAACCTCAAAACAACCCCATTAAGTATTCAAATCCTCTTTTCCCATTTTATAGATAGGAAACTGAGGCATAGGTAAGGTGATCCGACGTCCCGCTTTTGGCGGGACAGTCCTGATTTTTAACAAATTGTTTCCCGTCCTGCAGCGTTTGGAAACAGTCCCGATTTTTTAAAATGCCGCGGGACAAACCGGTTTTGGCAGGAGAAACGATTTTGATGTAATAGTTCAAGAATCTCTTTAATAACATATCACTGTATTTTTTCTTCACTTAATGAAATTAAGAAAGCAATGTACACTGAGTGGCCAGATTATTATGATCTATGAATGCATAATAATCTGGCCACTCAGTGTACTTGTGTCTTAAATGGGTACCAAAAGTATTCTAGACTTTTGCTAGAGATCAACCACCTATTTGCCTTGAGCTTTCTATCAGCCAGCCAGTGCAAAGGGGAAAAGTGATCAGATGATATCAAATAAATGAGGTACTCAAGAGAAGTACACTGAATTTCTAGATTATTATGCGTTCAGAGATCATAAAAATCTGGCCAGTAAGTGTAGTTTTACCTAAAATCTGGAAAGGACAGAACATACAAAAATAATAATTTATTATCTCACAATCCTAATGTAGCCATTGTTACCACCTGAGGCTATTTCTTTTCGATATATTGTTTGACTAGATGTATATTTTAATTACCTTAACATATTTTGAAGACCTATAACATTCTAGAATTTGCACCAGCCATTTCTTCTGAGATACGAGAAAAACTAAAGTGCTGAGCCATTCCCAGAAGCTCAGACACTAGCAGTGTGAAACCGACAGAAACAATGGAAGGAGAAAGCCTAGAACAGCTGTGTGCATCATTCGATTCCAATCCATAGTACGGTCTTACTTTGCCCCAAAAGAATGAGTGGCCAAAACATATATTCACAAGAGACCACTGGGCCTAAGTCATAAAGGATAACTGAGTGTGTTTTAGGGTGAGAAAGATGGAAGGCAGAAGGAACAGCACCAGCAAAGGCAGAAGAAGAGAAAGTGCATGGCCAGTACAAGGACAGTGGCTAGAGCACTGTCTATGTCCATGAGGCTCAGTTGTAAATAAAGTGGACTGACTGCCAGAGAGAGAGATGATGTCAGGAGACTGGGTGCTAAGGAGAAATCTGAAGGAAGTAAGTGCTACAAAAAGCCAAACTGAAAATCACACACACACACACACACAGTTACCCTAATTTAAAAAAAATGCAAAGTTCATTTATTTCTTT